GTAAATTACATGTATAATTTAGCAATTTTATTACATGTTTGATATTTTTACGTAAAATATATTAATTCTTTTTAAAAAGTACAATTTTAGTCAGGTTGAGTAAAATTCAGTGTCACATTAATCGGAAATTTGTATCATTCATAAAATACAAAAATTTATACAATATATTTACAAATCTGTATGAGAATTTCAATTTTAATTTTTAAGAATCATCCTATTATTTTTTAAAGAGATACTTAATATAATTTTATTCCATATTGTAGGGAATCTATAATTAAGAGTGCTACCAATTTTTCAAATTTATATATAAAAGATCAGTTGCATAATATAAATGCTATTATGCAGAATAATGACGACGCTTGTACTTATATGCGAATACTTTTGGTTATTTACAAAATTAATAATATTAATTTTGAATATCCATTTTCACAAATATTTTAACAAATGTAGAAAACATGCAATTGGTTGCGTAATTTATTATTATTTAGATTTCTCTCTCAGGCACAAAAAGTTATGTATATACTTATATTGAACTGCCATATTTGCTTACGTATACGTTTCCCAAGAAATTATTTATGTTTATACTTGTGCAAAATACATGAACAATATATACGCGTAATTAATCTTATATGTATGTAACAATTATTAAAAGCTAAGTTATATAAGTTTACACATGCAAATTGTGTAAGATTAATATATACTTAGGCATGTTAATTATGTATTTCTTACGTTATTTCTATTAATGCGCAAAAATTCATATTAATAGATTTATTGAAAATTATTTAGTAATTATAGCTAATTGAAGACTTGTCTATTTGAAAATATAGTAAATATGTTTGTTTATGTGAAACTTTGTAGCAGATGTTTATTTTTCATTTTGCACATATATACAATACATATATAATATGAAAATATATTTTTTGTTTAAGAACATATTGAAACCATTAATATTGAAAATTTATCCATTTATACATTTATAACATGTACATACATGAATATTCATTTACAAAGTGTAACTATATTTTTTAATCCAACTTAACCCTTCCGTTGTTAATGATTTCGGCCGATATTCCAGACCAACATAGCCAGTATAGCCAGTTGTTTCCAATAGAGACAAAACATATTTATAATCAATCTCTCCTGGAGTATCTGGTTCATGCCTATCAGGAACTTGAGCTATCTGAATGTGACCTATAAAAATAATATATTGAATATATATTATTTGAATAATATGAAAATTAATATTAATATATCACTGAAACACATGAATACTTTTGATTATTTATGGTTTACGTATTAATGAAACTTATTTGTATTATTTATATTGATTAAATTGACTAAATTGTAAAATAAATTGCAATTTTGAAATTATAATACTATACATTAATAAAACATAATATATTAATAAAAGTAATAAAACTATACACAAAGAGAATCTAATTATAAGGATATAATATTATAAAGTTACTAACCTATATAAGGTAAAAAATTTTGAATACTTTTTGTAATATTACCGCAACAATGTTGTAAATGAAAGATATCCATTAACAGTTTAAAGTGTGTACTGTTTACCTTCTTCACCAAATCTAAACCTGCGATAAGAATAAAGAAATTATTTTAATAGTCTCTCGTTATGACAAAGTAAAGTCAGACAATATGAATTTAACTTATTCGTACCTTTTTGAAAATTATTCATATAGTAATTTGGTACACTGTAATTATTAATTGGTTCAATGACGACAATAATATCCTCTTTTTGACATTTTTCGATGGCGTACAACAGATTTTTTTCATAAACTACATCGTTAGCAGATGTAGGAGTTTCCACTTTTCCTGACATTACATGAATCCTGTTAAGGATAGAATTCATTATTATGAATATATAATGTGGAATATCACAAGAATTAATTACATTAATTCTTAATCGAGTTTGTGCATTATAATGGATATACTGACATTTTACAGTCCAAGGCTTTTGCATATTCTATTGTTTTCTCAATACTCCTCTTGAAATGTTCTTCTTCACCCGGGATTGCAGCAAAGCCCAATTCTCCTTTTGTAACATCACCTATCGTGGCAAATGTTGACATTAAAGCTAATGAGATTATTTTTACAATGTATAACATGAACACAACGTACCTGTGAATACATTCAAAAGTACTTGATCAACATTAGCCTTCTTTTTGGCTGCGGCAACTTGTTGAACAGAGAAGCCATATGGAAATCCACTTTCAACCGCTTTAAATCCAGCTTGCTTGGCCAGTTGATATCTCTCGATAATATTAGGAACCTCAGTGAACATAAAAGACAGATTACTGGCGAATTTTAAAGCCATGACATAGGAACTGGTAGAAACGTGCTATCTGTAAGAAAACGTTTAGCTGTACGATGTATGTACGTAACACAAATGGATATGAAATAAGCTTTCAGTCAGTCACAGCTTTCATCGATTATATAATAATTCTTATCTACGATAAGAATGCTGTAATCGAGAAAAAATTTCTGTTACCAGAAGCTAGTTTTAAAATAGAGACTCACCTGATCACAGAAGGTAAATATCTTTGAGTTGCAAAGCAAACATAAAGGTTATTTCTTAGAAAGACTCTTTCTTGTTGGAGTTCTTCGTGACGTCTATGTTTTCGCCAAAAATACAGTCATAAAAAACAGATTGGAACTTAAAACTTAAACTAATATGCACATTATACAAAAACTGGTATGTATATGGTATTCTGCACAAACATGTTGACTGCTTCCAAAATTTCTGGTTATGTCTCATGTGTCTCTCATATTCAATGATTTAATCGTTTCACAACACTGTGTCAAATATCCTTTTTTCTCTTTTCTCTCTCTCTTTTTTGAATAATAACGATCATGTGTGATTAGTAAAGAAGAATGTGATGGTAAGAAAGGGAAAACGAAACTCTCAAGAACTCTGGACAAGATTGCTCCTCCCTCCTAAGAACCGTTTTTTCTTACACTTTATCAATTCTCCTTTCTCTCTCACCAATTCCTGAATATACACAGTTGAACTTTTTTACTGTTGATCAATATACTGTCTATTTATTCTTTTATACTACTGACCATTTATAATTCATATTTGTCATGCAGTAATAATAATATATGTATATATATGTATATACACATATGTGTATGTGTGTGCAATATATATGCTACTGAGCTGGATGGCTGGATAGAAAGATAAAATTTGAAAAATATATATAATGTCTACAATGACATACATATTATGAATAAATAAAGAGGAACAAAAGTTCGATTACACATACTTACATATTAATTATACATTGAACAAAAGAAATAATCAATAAATCAGGGATTAATGTCAAATGATAAAGAAATGCTTCGAACAAAGACGTTGCAAAAGTTTTGTTTATTGGAAATTTATGAGATCTTTTTTTACATGTTTGTCAATGTTAGAGATATAATATGTTTTTCTCTCTCGGTTTTTCGAGTATTTTTTAACGCATCCAGCATGTCTCAAAATAACCTATTAAATTTTAAAATTTCTTGTCAACAGAGCAGATCGCAAAGTTATTTAAATTAGTTTATTAAAATATATGTTTTTTTGTACATTAATTTTGTACATATCTATCGGATCCACCTTTTACTCTTTGAGCATATAAAAATAAGTTATTCTATCTGCCTCCATTTAGTAGTTTATAAACTACTAAATGCATTCTTTTAAACATACTTTATTTTTTATATATTTAAATATATAGATGTATAAATAATTGCTAGACAGATACTGTTGCAAAAACAGCATCTATTTTCGCAGATAGTCATAATTTTTCTACGTATACTGATTTTTCTATTCATACATAAAATAAAACCTAATAGTAAACGATATTCCTGAGTTGATTGTTGCATATGGATACAAAATTGATACAAGACAATTTGTCTGGTAAAATATTATCGCTATGTATCAAAATTTTTCAATATAGTCGGGATTCTATTATACAAAATTGTCTTTGCGTCGCGGCCCCAGAGATAATCGATATGATTGAATGTTTTATGCGCTATTTTTTCGGTGTGCGTAACATTTGGTAAATTATCCACCAGTTTTTGAACATCCTGAAACAATTGTAGAAAGTTATGGAATAAAGACATGGTAATATACAAGATACAATGTAGCGTTAACACGTAAAGACTCATCTTGAAATAATAAAACTTACGGTGCGATGAGTAATAAAGTCATTTTCACTGTAAAAGATCGCCACAGGTACCTTTACTCTTTCAAGAGTATATTTAGGCGGTTGTGTAGATCCATAGAGGTTTAAGTTTGTTTTAGTACCATAATCAAATTTCCGAAAAGATCCTGGAAAACAAATTGCAGATTATATATAGGGCGTTCTAGTACAAATAGCTCTTTCTCTTTATTTTCTAAACTAAAAGAGATAGGTAAAAAAATCTATATATCAAAGAAAGT